ATGGCTCTCACATTCCATGTACCAATCACTAGGGTCTGCTTACAACTGTTCCTCCTCCTTTGTATTTCCATACTTGATAGTTCTACCTAGGTTGCCCTTTTTGTTAATCTGCGTGTGTTCTGCTGTGCTTACAGCTCTGGAAAGGTGCCTCTTTTGAATTAAGGGGTTGAGTGAGTTTTTCCACCTTATTCCAACTCTGTTATAGCTCAGAACACTTTCCCCTTTACATTCAGCGGTTTTCCTCCTACCTAATAAATGAAGAAATTCTGACAGCAGAGGAGCAAAGACTATAGAGATGTCATTTTAAAGAGATTTCATGGCTATGAGCAAATAACTCAGCTAGGCAATAAACAAATTTAGGATATTGTGCCATACAGTTAACATTACAAGCCTCTTTGGAAGGAAATCTACCATGATATGATATTTGGGAGAAGAGAAGCTAAAATAGCAGAGAAAGCATTTAAAAAACAAAATTTCATGGATTCAAAAAAGAGCAATATTTAAGACCTACTGAGAACAGAAAAAATAACTAATCTCCCCAATCTATGCCAGCTTCTCATAGCCAATCTTACCTGTCAAATGTAAACAGACTTAAAACTATCTTCTATTTTAATTTTCCATTAAAAGGTTTTTAAGTTTATCTTCATTGAGATAATTTACCGTTTTTACCAATCATATTCATATGATTTTAAAACTAATTTAAGTAGAAAGAAATAGCCATTTAATTAATTAAATAATCTGGCAGAAGCCATTCATTTGCTCATAATATATTATGCTACTCAGCACTGCCAAGGACTGTGCTGAAAACAGGATGGGGGGCAGGATATTAAAAAAAGCAGGTAGACACTATTTCTAAGATGTAGAAAACTGCTGGCGAAACAATGGGACGCAAACACATCTAAGTCATCTTTTTAAGGAACGTACTGCTAAAAGTAAAATCTGAGGGGTGTATCAGTTTCATGGCTCAGTAATTTAAAAATTTTCCTATATACATCATCAGCACTATTGCACAAAATAGAGAAGGCAATTTTATTTTTGCTTGAATTTTAGTTTCTGTGATAAGAAAAATACAACAGACTAACTCTAGTTCTTAACTTTGACCATGGCAAGTAAAATGCTATAGGTATTATTATTATTATTAAAACTAAAGTTTAAAGATACCCCATGTGAGATGAAAATGGGAATTATATTCTCATACACTGTTGAGCAGCTTCATCTGAGGAAAGAATGAACAACACACACATATATAAACAACTCTCAAAGACTAAAGTCTAAAGGTGGTTGAGATAACCTTTAAAAATGTTACTTAAATACATTATGGACAAATACTTAGAAAATTAAGCTATTTTTCCATTGCTGGAGAGTTGGACTCATAGCCAATCTTCCTGAGTCCTCCTAGGGTTTCTGAGGCTCCAAATCACATGGGTGAACACTGCCCATCTTTCTAAGAGTCACTTGGTGGGGTCAAACTGCCAGGCATGGTGTTTGCTCAGCAGTTCAACTCCTTATGGACTAGGTAACCAGAGACCCCCACTTTTTTACAGGGCTGTTTTAAAACTCTGATCATGCCTGGATAAGTCTGTTTTGTTTGGCATATGATAACTCTTGGTTGTTGAGCCAGAATGATTCATAGCTGACCCCTCCAACAGGTTTTCAGAGGCTTCATGATCTCTCTCCTTTGAAGCCACTAGTGGATTTGAACCAAAGAGGAGTCACCTGTGAGTGAGTAGCACAAATCCCTAAGGACTATGTCATATAGTAAGGGTCAGGGATTTCTAACAAAATAGGTTTAGATTTTACAAAATTCTTACAATGACATTTCCCCAATCTGACCTGAAACATAAAATTTTATTAGTCTAGAATCAATCCAGACTGTTTATGGAAATAATTTATTTCAGAATACTTAAAATATACTGTAAGTGATTTTTAGGAGGTCTTGGTGGCATAACGGTTAAAGGCTAACCCGCAAACTCAAAGGTTGGAAGTTTGAATCCACAACTGCTCTGCAGAGGGGAAAGTCTGTGTAACCTGTGTCTCTGAGGATTACAGTGTAGGGAAGCCAATGGGCAGGCAGCTCTGCTCTGTCTTACAGGGTCACGATGAGTTGGAATATACTTAGTGGTACACCATTCTTATTATCAAAAAAAACGAAAACAATTTGAAACTTATATGATTAAGCATCAATCATAAAAGCTTTAAAAAAACATCTATAAACTTACTTCACGAAGAGAAGTGGTTTCGCGAATAAAAAACATGTTAATTATTCCAAGGTATTTGGTTATTTTTGCTCCAGGAATGAAAGAGAGGGGGGTCATCTTAACCACCCCAACTGTAGAACTGGCACAAGAAGGAGCAGCACGATTCCGGAAACTGCCTTCACCCGTTGGACTTGGTTTTTCAATGGTCACAGCTAAAATTGGGAAAAGAAGAGAAAGCAACAAGTCAGTAGCTGGTAATTTTATTATTCCCTAAGGTTTCCAATTAAGTGGTGACAACATTCAGCTCTCTGTGAGGCTAAGCCATGTCATGAAAGACATTATCATGCACTGCATGCAATTTAAAAAGAGGAAGAAAGGAAAACATGAAAAGAAATGCTGGAATGGAATTCTTTTGGAAGATAAATGGCATTCCTGCAAAAGAAAATGTTGATGCAGTGTAGCTACACACACAATGATTGGTTATAAAGTGAAGAGAAAGGAAAAGCGGCAGAGCATTAAAAATTATCTGCTGTAAGAACAAATTATTACTAGGAGAGTGTGAAAGTTGTTTTACTTCCCAGTGCATTTTTTTCCATCCTTCTCAGACGACTTCATCATTATCAACTTGTAGATAAACCTTAACTGGTTGTAACAGGCTCCTTTCTCCCAAACCTTTTGATTAAATAAACTCATAATTCTAAAAAGTTCAAGAGTGACCTTGGCTGATAGTTGTTTATAAAATAACAAATGGTAACTATACACTAAATAACTACTATTAAGTACTGTTTCATACATGTCATCCTTGCAATGACCCAACAACCTAAGTATTATTGACTCCTTATTAACTCCATTTTGAATATGACGAAATTGAGGCTCAAAGAGATTCAGTAACTTGCCCAAGGTCAATCAGCTATTAAAATGGCATTCTGGATTCAAATCTAGATCTGGCTGGTTCCGGTGTTCTTTCCTCTAATACATAATACCTTCCCTGGTAATGGACAGTAAACTGTTTCACTCCAGCATATTTAATTCAAAGTCTACCAAAATACATGGAGTAAAAAGAAAAGACCTTATAATTAGTGAGTCTAATAACAGCAGTAAAGAGTCGTTAACTACTTTCTCTCCATTTTTTTTAGCCCTCTGAGATCACTTAGTAACTTACAAAACTACATAAATAACACTAGATGGTACCGTTAGTCTCTTAACTTCCTTCTGTCTACAAATCTATAATGTCCACTTCATACTTTTAAGATTCAACAAAGTAAGATTTTTAAAAACATAGTTAAAACTAGCAAGTCTACAGGCCATTCAACACTTTTGCTAAATAACCATCAGAGTCTGCAGCTTTCACACTCTAACATATGATTGATTGGCAATGTTATTACTGGGTTGTAAGGTCTAGCCTTCACCACTGGGAAATCAAGGATGTGCTTCTCAGATCATCATCATAATGTGGTAGAAATATCCGCCTACTTGTCTTAATTGATCCGCGCCTTATGGTCTGAGCTTTCAGTTTAATGAGCTCTATCCAGCTGCTGCATCTGTCTGCAAAGGAACTGTAATCAACTGACGTTGCTGAAAACACAGACAGAAAACAAAAGAAAAAACAAAGAAAAAATATGGATGACGTCTCTTGCTCGTCATAACACTCCTTCCGATGATGTAATATAACTGTAACTTAGAAAAAAGAACGGTCCTTTTTCAAGTCAGATAAGAGATGTAGAAGAGACAAGCTTTAGACACTGATTTGTCCAAAACCAAGTTCTCAGTTGGTTGGCTGAGCTTTGTGGTGATGTCACAGGTAAGTGGTCTCTAACGTAAATATCAATGAAAAGATCACACACTGGGCTTTAAAATAACTTTATTTATCACTATTTACACTTTTTGGTTGTTCCTATCTTAGAACTTTTCTTTACAACACAAAATAGAGTAAAATTCCCTACTTTAAAATAAATGTAAAAAATGAGAATCAGATGATGAATACATGAAAAAATAAATCATGAGTTGACTAAATTCTTATTAAAATATTTTTCTACTATTAGTAACAGGAAAGCCAAGGAGTCACCTTTGTTAATATTATGTTTACATGTCTAATTTTGGCATCAAAGACAAAATAGGTGAAAGGAATAGATGTGACACTAACAAGATCCTCCAAAGTTAAGGAGCTAATTTCTATTTTCTTTCTACAAACTGGAAAACTATTGAAATACTAAGAAAAACACAGAAGTATTTAGCTTCACTGATTTTTTAAAAAATGCATTCTAACTACAATAAAGCCACATCCTGGTGTCTTGTGTATCTCACTGACGTCTGTAATTTATAAGCACTACAGACCTACGTTTTCACAGCTTTGGTAACTGACTAATTTGCTTTGTTAGACAAACTCACCTCTCTGTGCAGCTGGTATACCTGAGTTAGAACTTGCACTCTCCAGGTGTTCTAATAAGACAATATGAAACACATTAGCTCAATGCTAAGTATTAAGCCAGTATCTGTTCTTTGCTGTTTGTTAATACCTTTTATAAGTCAGAAGAATAGGAAGAAATCTCTATGGTTTCATTATAAGAGCAAACCAAATAGAAGTATTAGGTTTAAAATGCAGTTTCTATTGATATATGAAAACCAAGTCTATTAATAAATATCATGCCAAAGGAAAACTACCTGTTTACTATGATGCAATGAGTTGTTGAAACTTTTAAAATCATGGGAAATAGAAACAAAGTAACAAATATTAGTAGAATGTAAGAATAATGAGTCAATGTGCTGGAAACAAATTATGAAATGAACATGAAAGAGAATGTCTGGATATTCAGTAGAAAACAATTAAAGGACAAAGATTGAAACAGTAAGATTATTAGAAAACAGTAAAAAGACAAAACGTCTCATGGACAAACACAAGCCCCTTATTAGCAATGACCTTCCTTCTCATCAACATCACTACCTGGAATTCACTATCAACTGCTCCCTCTACCGGTGGATAATGTAGGAACTCTCAACAAGCACCACGTTTATTTTCCAGTTACCTCATGAAAGTGGTACCTAAAAGTTATCTTATTACTTATCCATATTGTAAATATTGAAGGTACTGTATAAATGTAAACAGCTCAATAAAATAATTTTATAATCTATTTTTAATGTTCAAGTTCTACTAAGTCTAGCATATCTGAATTTTTGTTTCAAAGAATATTACAACTAAAACAGTATTAACATGCTAAAATTAAAGCCACTAGAATAATTTTGGCGCATTAGGGTTTTCTAAAAAACAAACTATAAACTATGTACTTAAGCCTTTTTTGTCTCTATTTAAGGTGCTGATCTTATAAATAAAAGTTAATAATTTAAAAAATATTATTTATATGGAATGTTCCTCCTAAATGGATATAATAAAAGTGTCTTTCTTTTTATTAAACAATGGCCACTAGCTAATATTGGAGGATATGCTGTAGCTGACTTATCATCCACCATATGGAGTTGGTGTGAGCAAATACTGACTGAAAAAGATCTAACAAATCTGTTTTGGAAGATATGTGTTATGACCATTCCTTATAAGCAAGGACAATGAGATGTAGTTTTTCACATTTTGTGTAGTTATCAAGAGGCCCGTCCCTGGAGAAAGATATGCTTGGTTGAGGGTCAAAGAGGAAGACTCTCAATACAATGGACTAATGCAGTGACTACAACAGGCTCAAGCAAGTGATGATTGTGAGGATGGCACATGAAGTAGTGTGTTATTGTGTTGAGTCTGACTCAGTAGCACCTAACAAGAAGTGTGTCCTAGTGACACGCTGGCTAAGGGCTCAGAAAGGCTGGCAGTGCTAATCTACCTAGAGATTGCAGGATAAAGAGCTGCTGACTGCTTCCATAAAGATTACAATCAATAAAATCCCATGAGCCAGTTCTACTAGTCATACAGGTTTACTCTGAAGTTGAAAGTCAATTTCATGGACCCAGAAAACCACCAGTGAGATCTACAAAATGCCCGTGAGGGAATAATGCTGTGAAAATGTGCTGAGACTGTAGACAGAAAGTCCTCTTGATTCAGAACATGGAATCTACCCACGGACCATGGCAGACCTATCACTGTGCCAGATCTCTAGAGACAGCTCACCCCATCAAATACTCTGAGAAGTATATTTGATCTGCACCCCTTTGTGTATCTCAAGAGATTATTGATTTTCACTATCTTGTACAGTGTAGACTTGCTAGGTGTAGAATTATAGAAAATATAGTTAAGAATATAAGCATTGGGAATGTTGTGAAATTCAGAAAAAAATGCAGACATATGTGTCACTAAAAAAAATTATAATAATGATCATTAAAATGAAATTTTCTTCTATACCAGTGAGACTGAATTCTCTAGTAGCAATTTTATATGACTTAGAAGGGGGAAAACACCTTCACTAAATAGAAAATATTTGTTCCCCTCTCTAAACTATATTAAATGGGAGTGAAACGCTATTTAATTGAAAAGTTGCAATTATTTTTTTATTATTTGCAATTTTCAGAATGTTTTTATAATAATAATGGCAATAATAATAAGATAACATCTTTGCACATAAGATTATAAATTGTTAAGAACTCACGTAAAACACTCATCAGCAATCGACTTATAGCTGATCCTCCTGATACAGCTTTTGGAAACTTAATTATTCATGAGAGGAGCCAATAGTGGATTTGAACCACCAGAGGGGCACCGAGTTTGAGTAAGCAAAGCAACTCCCTATGGACTATAAAGTAATTGCCCTTTGGGGAGAGTAAGATGGGAAAGGGGAGCTTTATTTTGGACGATAACTACTTAGAGCATGTTCAGTAGAGGCCAGTCCTTGGAAAGGAACATCCTGTTTGAAAAAGTAGACTGTGATAGAGCAAGACTCTTAAAGAGATGGACACACAGTGACTGCCAACAATGGGCTTAATTAAGTACAGCAGAGATGGGCGTAGGAGAGAGCAAGGTTTTCATCTTTTATAGGGTCAATATGGGGGTACTGGGCTTTTCACCATTTGTGCTTATTCTTACTGTTAATTGCCAATCAATCCTCACTCATAATGAGCCAACACCATGTGTTACAGGCTAGAACAGTTCACAGGGATTTCCTGACGATAATCTTGATGGATGCACAGCACCATGTCTTTCCTCTGGGAAGAGAATTCAGGTTGAAACCTCCAATCTTTAGGTTACCAGTTGTGTATAACTGTTTGTGGCACCCAGGGGCCACTGAGCAGTTATTACTTTAAAAAAAAAAGTTGTACAAAGTGTTGAAGAGAAAAAGCAGAGAAGGAGAGGTAGAATGTTTATTCTTTAGTTTCAAGTATGAAGGTAAATGAAAAGCTAGAGAAACAAAATATCTACACTGGTGACATTCTTAGGAAAAGGGTTTAAGAGAAGATTTTTAAAGCACTGTAAGATTTCCACCTACAGAATAAAAAGGTATGGAATAAGCATGTATCTGAGGAAGAACTGAGAACTGCAGGCTACAATGTGAATTGAAGCTCAAAATAAAGAAAATAAAGGTTCTTAGGGAGAAGAGATTGAGATTGTTAAAAATTTCAGCTTGCTCAGTTCCACAATCAACACTCTTGGTACCAGCAGTCAGGAAATTAAAAGACAAAATGCACTGAGAAAATCTGCTACCAGGGATTTATCCAGAGTGCTAAAGAGCAACGATGTCAATCTAGAGACTAAGGTGTGTTTGCACCAGGCCATGGTCTTTGCAATTACTTTCTATGCATCAGAGAACTAGACAATTAATACAATGAATCAGGATGAAAGAACTGATGCCTTTGAGTTGTGTTGCTGGAGGAGAGTACTGAACATTACATGGACTGCCATGAGAACAAACAGGTTTGTCCCAGAGACAGTGAAAGCATGTTGCTCTTTTGAGGTAAGGATTTTGAGGTTCCGTCTCACATATTTTGGGCATGTTGCCAAGAAGGACCCATGCTTGGAGAAGGACTTCATGCTTGGAAGGGTGGAGGGTCAGTGCAGAGGAACAAGATCCTGGATGAGATGGACAGACAGTAACTGGGGTGATGGAAGTAGGAGAGTCAGAGACAGCGAGACGGGCTCAGGAAAGGGCAGAGTTCAGGGGTAGTGACTCCATAGCACATAACTCAACAATAAGGAGACTTTACTTAAGCAGAACAAGTTTATCTTTTAATGTGTTTACTATGATCTCATTTTTTTTTCCTTAGAGAAAAGGTTAAAGATGAACTAATCCAGCTGAATGCTCCCATCACAGATTGGTGTGAATAATTCAAGGTTCTATCTAGTAGCCTCAGAGTCTAAATCCCTCCACTCCTGAGTGCAGAGAGACTTCCTGTGTTACATGTTTCTCAAGAGAAGGCACTGCAGAAATAAGTAGCAGGGCTCATTGGCAAACTGGTCATTCCGGCTAACAAGAAATAAATAAAAAGACTATGGAAAATACAAGGTAAGATTTAAGAAAAAAGACTGTTTATTGTTCAGGGGCAGAAATCTCATTACAAATCTTGCCTGCTCTCTGAGGGGTGAATGCTTGGTTGTAAGCCATATGCATCTGTGTGGAAGAGTCTAACACATAATACACATTACACATGTTAAGTCTCCAGTCTACCTGCAGACACTTGATCCACACCTCTTATAATTTTCTTTAGTACAAGAAAAAGATTCTTTAACTCTTTCAAAAAGATTGCCCAGTTATCATTTGGTATGCTTGAGGGTTTTTCCTTCTTTCTAAATGGAATGAAACAATTTTTAGAGGACAGATTGATGGAGAAAATTTTTAAAGCATTGTGAAGAGATTAGCTGGGACTGACTCTGGTTAAAAGAAATTTAGTGGAAATGAGCATGTTGCTATCGCTAGGTGCCATCAAGTCAAGTAAGACTCAGACTGACCCTATGAACACCAGCTCTGAACCCTGTCCTATACTGTGCCACCATCCTTATCATCACTGACACACTTGAGGCTATTGTCACATTCACTGTATCAATCCAATTTCTCTAATCAAAATGTGACAAGGATTCTTTCTCCCTCAATTATATTTTATCACGTTCTTCTAAAGTTTGAGACTTTAACTTTCTGGTAAATAATCTTCCATAATCAGTGATCTAGCCATTGGTTAGCTGTAATAAAGTTGTACATTGATCTCTACCTCTTTTGACTACTTACTCATTTTACATCAGCAGAACTTTCACATCATTTTTCTGAATAATTTAAAAAATTTGACACAATCTTAACTAGACAGCTTAAGAAAATTACCAAAATTCTGAAAAAACTCTTAAATTCTGAAAAGATCTATTAAAATATATGGAACTTGGGCTCTACAAATTCTAATTATTTTCTTTGCAAATAATTTCAGTTTTGAGTTATTAGTAAAAACTTAGTGCTGTTTTCCTTTGGAAATTTCCACCATTCTATTATGCATTTGTTAGCTATGTACTATACCAATAAAAGCTGGAT